TGATATCTCGAAAATTGAAAGCCTTGCCACATGCATCTGTTTGGTGCCAGTGATTCATACTAGTCGTTGAGATAAGTAGTTAAACTGGTTTTTGCTTTGCTTTTTACATTATCGTTTCAATTGTATTCCATTTTGACGTTTTTATGTGCCACAAACATGTGTAATAATAGAATAGAGGGATTGGTCTTAAGTATCATGTGCCGAAGGACATTTGACGATGTAGTTAGTCTGTGTTTCATCCCTTAGCTGTAAACACTGACCGAGCAATGCTTGCGTGCAGAAGCAGGAATCATCAGTACAGCCTCCTGCCCGCCATGTTCTGAACAGTCATGTGACTAATTTGCAAGACAGATGTGCGATAGGAAGAGAAATCAGAGAGTTAGAGCAAACAGGGTGAGAGAGAAGAGAGGGAAGCGAAAGTTAACCCATGATACGGACAATCATTATATGCCAGTTATGAGTAAACACTTTTTATGAGAATAGCTTGCTGACTAGGCGTTTAATTCCCGAATCATCAAGGAAGATGAATTTGCTGAGTACTACTGATCGGTTAAATATTTTAGAAAATCGAAAAACTGAAAGAAAGCTTACATTTCACCAGCGTAGCAACCGAGAAGAATACGCACACTATTTTTGTGGACAACGAAGATGAAGGTTTGTTCTAGCAGCCAAATTTTTCAGTTTTTTTTGAGCTGTGAATCTATTCCTTCTGTTGTTTTTCCTTCTGTTGTTCCATTTTTATACGTTTTACACGACAGTAATTGTGCAGAGCACATATTTTTGAGCTCTTTCCGCATGTATTGCTTTTTTTTTGACCAGATGTGTGTCCGGGTTTTTCAGTTCACCAAACAAAAAGCTGGGAAGCTGAAATTTTGATAAAATCTTAAATCTTAAATAAAATCTTAAATCGATAAATCTTAAATTTCGATGAAATAAAGTCTTAAATCTTAAAATCATAAGACTTAAAAACTCATAGTTAGTTTTTACGTACGCCATCTCAAGTGCTAATATGTGAAGTGGAAAGGAAAGAAAGGTCCATGGAAGCCCAGACAGAAAGTAGTCATATTCCAACAAGGAATATCAGAGTTGTGGTAGATGTGCGGTGGTAATTTGCGGCCGTAAGTAAGCTGAAGAATAACGTAGAAAGTAGAGGACCGTAAAAACCGAGGGAAGTTGTTCAGCACAGCTATATTCCATATGGTTCAAGCCTTGAAAGAGAATGGTGGGGGTAAGACAGTTGAGTTGATGTGGAACAAACCAGTTGATAAGTGGTCATGATCAGGGTACGCGTAGGTTTGCCTGTTCGTGTTTCATCCCTTAGCTGTAAACACAGAAAGTACAAGATGTGGTTAGGGGTGGGAATCATTTTGGCGGTAAATTTTGTAGCTCGAAAACCAGACAAGATAGAAAGTTGAAATTTTAAGAGCATGCTTCTTGCACATGTGCGATTTTGTAAGTTCAGAATCAGCTTCTCCGTACGCCCAAGTCTCACATACGAAGTTCAGGACTTTTCGGAGATTATTTTCTGTATTGATTATTTCAAAAAGTGCTTACGAAAGTTGTTTGCAGCAAGAAAATTCGATTTGGCGAAATATTTTGATACACCCGAAGAGTTACTGGACCGGCGACACAATCGACCACATACATCTACACTGCAGAAAAGCTCTATTGTGGGCAACAGAACCAAAAATGATCTCAAGGTATGTATACGACTTAATGGACCGAAACATTTCTTACCATTAAAAATACATTTTATTAGTTCTTCTTTTAACATTAAAATATTTATATACATTTTGTTGAGTAGTGCTTCAAAATGAATGCATATTCGAAGAATTATTTTCGTAAAATTTTCAATTCTGCCCCAAGTTTGAGAGCGCTAGCAAATACAATTCGGGCTAATTGCACTTTTGAACGTTGATTTTTCTAGTGTTTTTTTGTTTTTTTTCGCGTGATGGTTTGTCGGTCTTCATTCCATGGATATGAGTTGCCACCTGTAGGCCGTGCATGCTGAACAAATGGAAAGTATCAGAATGTATCAGAATAGAATAAAATATCAGAAAGTATCAGAAAATACAGAAAATAAAAAAAAAATATCAGACGCCAGTGATTTTTGGGAATTGCTATACTTTTAGGAAGCAGCACATGAACAGCGGAAAATGTACAGCGAATTGTTGAAGAGAATGCAGCGTGCAAAAGAGCTGAAAATTGTTATGGAGAAACTAGAAGTTAGG